TTTTTTTTTTCGCAAAATACAGGAAAGAGAAACTAGAAAGTAGTAGTCTCTCGGTAGTTGGAGACGAGCGAAAAAAAAGAGGGCGAGCGGAAGAAAAAATGCGGAAGGACAAGGCCCCCTTCTTTTTTTTGTCTCACTTGCCCTGTTCTTTTCGTTCGTCCCCAGCTACCAAGCCCCAGAAACGGGCTATAGAGAAAGTAATCTAGCAGCCTGCCAACAGGCTCCTGGTGAGCTAGCCGAGTGTGGTCTAGGGCGAGCGGGGCTAACCGAGAGCGGTCCTGGTGACGAGGGAGGCGCATGGGACCCTACCCCGTTCGAAACCCGCTCCCACGCTTCGCTCGCGGATTGCGCCACTCGCTTCGCTTCGGTCGCGGAATTCTTTATTTCGTGCTAAACGGCTCACTTCGCTCACCGTATTTTTTTTCCGCCCTCGCTGGGAGCCTGTTTGCAGGCTGGTAATCCAGGGGTCACCGAACATTCAAGATCGCTCAATCAACACAAAGATTCTCCAGTGGCCACGGTATTACTTGCGGTATAGCAACCTCGAGTAGTGCAGCAAGGAACGAAGGCTGGATGAACGAGATTTGAAGGGGCACATTCGACTTAGCGAATTGACGTCAGTTTTCCCCGCGTCTGTCCTGCTATTAATCATGAATTTTGTCATAACATTGTTGAAGTAGATGTGGATCCACGAGACGTAGCCAAGTGGATCCGCAGACTACTTTGATAATGTTATGATGAAATTCATAATGACAGGACAGACGCATGAAAAACTGGCATCAATTTGTTTTTTGCAATAACCAATTGTCAAACTGTCCGCTCTCGCTAGTTGACGCATTGCATAAATTATAAATTCGTGTGTCTGTCCGCTCGATTTCCAGCCGTTTTGGGAGTGCGGCTGTTTGGGCGAAGGAACGCGGGCTCACAAAACGGCTGGAAATCGAGCCTAGGCGAGATGGGGCGAGATCGACGGGATGGGTGAGTTTGAAACAAAAAGGTTCGATAACAGATTAAGACGAATAGGAAATTGAGCAATTTCAGGTTTTAGTGGCAAAAATCTTGTTCCAAAATAATTTTAAGTATATCTCATTCCTTTTTGCATTTTCTAAAAACTAAATATATAAATAGTTGCCTGAAATAACATCAACAAGGCAACAACAATCTTTCTTCGCGTCTCCGGCGGTGTCCATGCATAATAAAGCATCTTTAAATTTAAGAGTGAATCCATGAGAGAACCCCTCCCTCGGCAGGAGGTGAGACAGCTCAAATCACCGATTTCGCTCAAACTTGGCACAAATTTTGGCGTTGGTGAGTGAATGATTGTGGCAAAAATGTACGTCAAAATATTTTATTCCTTCAAGTTGGTGGGCCATTTGAATGTGTGAAATGGCCATTTGACATTAATTTATGCATATTTAATTAGCCATCTTTGGTTTAGTATTTCTACGACAAGAAAACCCATGTGAAAATGAAATCCACTGAATCCACTGATTTTGGGCTCTCCGGCTTTGAAATTGTCGCATCTATTTGGTTGCTTCGAACCGTGTTTTACAGAAAATATCCCTTGCCATTCCTCTTTCATCATTACAGATGCTAGCAACTTGTTTGCATCGCTACTTAATTAGAAGGTAGTTCAAAATCCATAGACAGCCATCACTGCTGCCGCTATAACATACACATCTTTTTCAAAAACATATAAAAATTACCGTGATAGTTAAACATTGTCATTGATCAAAAGGTTTTTACGATCATCAAAGAGCTTGTTCCAGAAGAACTTCATCATGGCGTAATAAAACGTGGCCTCGGCCGCGTTAACGACAATAGTTATCGCCTGAAATGCGGATGGGGTTCGACGAAAATTGTTGACGCCTGTTACTTGGAAAGCAGCTTGAGTCGAAATCAAAATGAAGAGATAAAAATTCTCCAGAATGAACAAAATCAGTGTTAGCATGTAAAGTAGATGCTCAGCACTAACTTTGGGCTTCTTCCATGGTGCAGGGACAGTATTCCACAGGTACACAACGAGAGTCGTAGAAATCTCACCAAGAATGAACCCTACCTCGATAAATTTACTTATCCCCTGTGGCTCAGTTGAAATGACAATGATGTTGTAAGTAATAGCGATTGTCAGTTGCCCGAAAAGCGACCAAAACCGGGCATGCCTCGAGTTATTTCGAAGAACAGATACATATCCCTCATAGTCAGGTACTTTCACGAGAACTAAAATAACAAGCAAGGTGTTGATAACAGAAGCCATTTGCCATGCTATTTCCAATTCATCAGCATGGGAGAACAACGTAAAATTCTTACAACGGTAGCTGGCAAGTTTTTCACGGAAGAAGCAATCGGTGGCATGTATACTGTACAATATTAACCCAATGAATCGCCACAGAAGAACGGCAAGATACGTCAACATTACGAAAACCTTAACACAAGCCTGGCGCCTGCATAATCGGCAGTTTATCCTCTGAACATCTGGACCTATCAGGGTATAAGTAGTCTCCGACATTTTCTGTATCGATTCTGTATAGTAGGAAAGCAAGTGTTCAAAGTGCTTATTCGTTGCTATATCATCGACTGATTAACATTGGAGAAGTAAGGTTCTTGTCATATATATATAAGGAACTAGAACAATTAATTCTTCCGGTCTAGTGCGGAAATGCGACACTGGTTCCATAAATAAGTGTGACAACCACCGTTTCTTGGAAGACCCGGAACGACGCGCGAGGTGTTGTAAACTAACCGACCACACTATCTCGTTATAAACTCATACTTTTTGATGCGTTTTCGCCTATCATCCACATTAAAACGCTCGAAAACGCTGATGAAAACAGAGACTTTCGAAAACTGTGACAAAAAAAGCGTCATATACTATCGCTTCTATCAGCGTTTGCGGGCGTTTTAGCGTGGACCATATACCTACGAAAACGTAATAAAAATATGCGTTTTCGAATGAAAACGTATTAGTCTGGAAAGGTAAAAATAAAAGGAAATCGCTCTAATGTGGTCGAAAATATTTTGCTTGGTGTTCGTTGAGACGAAAACGGATACTTTTGAAAACGGATTAGTGTGGTTCGGGGCTAGTCTCCCACGCAGACGCACGCCCTTCGAGCGTCTGCGTGGGAAGCTACAATAGGTCGGGGACTGAACCTTATCAATCTGAGCTAAACAACACACATAATACATTGCCGCTTACGTATACGTGTAAAAAGCGAGGGTCTATTGTAGGGGGCCGTACATTCCGCAGACTGCTTTCGTTTTCTACAATAATCGACTGAGACCGCCCTTCTAGTCACGGGACGGTTATCATCACAACGTATCTCTTAACAGTTACAGTACGTAACAAATTCTTTCTAACTCCATTCATGCCAGTAACCAGCGAACAAAAAAGTAATTTGGACGTTTAATGGGTGGTCACAAACACAAAGATTGCCCGAAATATTTGAATGACCACCACATGAAACACGCAAAAACTGACAGCCGTGAGCAAAAATTATCATTTCCCGCAACCGCGCAATAATTTCTTAAGCTTTGAACCGCCACATAATTGTGAATGTACCCGAAAAAAACCATTCGGTGCATGGATGAATTTGAAGTCAAGAAGATGATGCGATCTTATAGGAGATAAATAAAGAAAAAAACAATTCTCCCAAGGTTTAGGTCTGTGCGTTATTCCAAATAGATGTTTGTTTCGCACAAGTCTACCTTGTGTGCTTAGTATGGAGCGGCCATGTCACTGGTGTACCGCCGTAGTACTACACAGCAGTGATGCACTGCTGATGCAAATCGCGAGAAATCGGCGTTTCGGTCAAAAAGAAGGAAAGAAAAAAGGACATNCGTTTCTTTGTTCTAAGAACCTTTCTTGCGAGCATTTCTCTCAGAAAAAGCACATCATGTTCTTTGCTCTACTCCATAGGCCGAGTTGCTGTTGTTTTGTTGCCTCTGAGAAATATTCTGCTGCTGCGTGGTCTTTGTTTATCAGTGGGTGTCAGACCAGACTTGTAGTGCTCTCCAACAGCCAGGACAAGCCCTTTTAGCTTTCCTTGGACTGTTCTAGCTCCCCCATTGCAGAGTGTAACAGCAACAGCGCAAGCTGTCAAGTCTCCTACAAAGCCTCAAATGTATCACAGCAGGAGCCACATTCGTCGGCGTGAACGTGTTAGTGGCATTTGGCTGATCACACTGCCACTTGCATATCAGGTCCTTCAGGACAGTAGCCGTGAAGTGGAGTGTCTTTGGTTGAGGCATAGTGGTGCCAAATAGTTTTAACAGCTTTTTCCATGCTAGTTAAGTCACTCTTGTTTTGGCAGAGAGCCATATATCGCTGGAAGGTTTTTTTTTTTTCACAGTGAAGTACCCTTTTTAATATTGTCTAATTTAAGACAGTGTATATAGATTGCTGGCAAACGTATCCGAAATTGAACAGTTAATCTTGCCAGAGAAAAGCTATGTATTTACAGCGTAAAAAAAAAAAAAAAAAAAAAAAGAAATGAAAAGAAAAAAAACCTTAATAGAAAATTAAAGACAGAAATAAAAAAGTATAAAAAGACACCGCGACCCCGATTTAGTTGCGATACGGATATAAAAAGGTACAAAAGATATCCATGACATTTAGTCGTACAGACACCTTAAAGTTCTATTTGACACTCTGGCTTCAATTCCCGGTCACAACCGTTACTATACTCTGTAATTCAACAATGAACATAATAATACTTTAGGCGGAAAAATAGAAATATCCTGCCTGGGAATGAAAAAAAAAGACATTCTTATAAAAGAAAAGAGTATATCACGAGTTTGCACTGTTTCTTCTTGCATGCGATGGAATACATTGTATAGTGGAACCTCTATATAACGAAGTCCTCGGTATTACGAGCGATATTCTTTGCCCCAGCAATGGTAAAATGTACGGAAAAAGAACCTCGATACAACGAAACCGTGTTGTAGCGAACATATTTTGCCAGTCCCTCGGCCCTTTGCTATATCCAGGTTCCATTATCAATCTTCACAATAGGATATCAGACAAGCCAACGATATCATGGAACACGCTCCTCGCCGAATTAAGGTTGGTTACCAGTATCAATGTTTTCAAGACGAAACTCTACTGGATGGGGGATGCCGAAGCTGCAATCCGTGCAACGTTTAATTCGGTTTTTTTAAATGCTTTTATCTTTTTTTTAATGTTATGTATTTTACGAAATCTGTAAATAGCCAAAAATTTTAAGCTTTTCTCAGGCTTTGTTATTTCCTTTTAGGTAGGTGTCCTCTATTAGTAGAGGGTTATCCCTCGGCTAAAGCAATTCGACACGCTAATACAGTTTTTTTTATTATTTTTATTTTAGTATATCACAAGTTTACACTCCTTCTGTTAGCTTAGGACTGGATACATGTGTAACAATCTTTACAATATGATATCAGACTAGACAACAACATCAGATCAGATCCAGCCTGCTTAGCTGGCGTAAAATGGGGAGGATGGGGGAGAGACAACGGGGATATCAGGGGGTATTCCTCGCGTTTTTCACTTCCCCCACTCCTGTCCCGTCTAGCTTTTTCTGGGTCCGGGACGCTTACAACACAGGCTAGATCAGATCATAACTGGGTTGCTGGTTTCTCCATAACGCAGTCCTGCATCTCGTTTCATTTACAAGCCGCTAACTATTAGTTTGATTGTCACGGGTCACGCAATGCTCGTCCAAAAATAAGAAAAGAGAAAACAGTTTTACTTCACTACTTGTTACAATGATATAGCTAATGATGACAGAAATCACAGAGGGCAGTTATAAACAATAATTGACTTGTCATCTGATACGGACACGATCTTGGAGCCAGTGGCATTGTACTTCACTCCCCACACCTGACATAAGCAGAACAGAAAAACAAAACTGATTAGGAAATCACAAAGCCTGGCAACTACCTCACAAGTCTGTTGCATCTTCTAAAACTTCTAGGGTTTGGGTGGAGGGATAAGGAAGGAGCAAAGCCTGGAGGGACTCCCCTATAGAAATGACGATGATGATCTCTCAGGGTGCAAAGTAGTAAAATTACAAAAGTTAGAGCTATCGCGGTTCCTTCTAGGAGATCGAGCCGAAAAATAACAGGAACTTCGTGTTACTCAACTGATTTTTACTTGATATTTTTTATTTATTTGTCAAACATAACCACAGTCCTCCGACCTAGCCTGTTTTTTAGTTAGGAAGCAGCAGCAGCAGCAGCGCACAAAACAGCAAGAGCGAAAATAGGGCGCCGTTCTGTGTTTTTCTCTGCCGTTTTCGTGCTCCTCCCCGCGGGCTGCTCCCCAACTGTACGAAGGCCTGGAACAGGCTACAGTCCTTCAGACCTGTCGTCAAGAAATAGATCAATGTTGATTTGTTGTATCAGAATCGGTATCTCTTGAACATGAATGTGAGCCACGCCCACCCACACAGCAAGATTTTGATGCCTTGGAGATGGTTCTTTTCCAAATTCCAGACAAGCACCATTAGAAAGTAAAAGGCTGATGAAGGCGACTGCCATGCCACCACACAGGGATTCGACTATAAAAATCACAGAGGAATCAAACTCTTGCTGTTCCATGAAAACGCAGGGATCACCTTCTGTCTCTCTACACGCCTCATCAACATCCGGAAAGGGGGAACTTCCACATGAAAAGGTCGGGGATGCTTGTCGTCTCGTTTAGAGGTATAAATCAAGGATTCTGGTCTCACTTAGCTAGGATGTTCATGACAAAACGCCACTTTTTTTAGCTGTAAAAGTATCTTCTAGGGTGCACTCGAAGACATAATATTAAGACAACTATCTTATTTCTGTTTTTAAGTTTGATTTCTACCGGTCTCTCGAGTCTGGTCTACTAGCATAGGCTCCTTTCCTGAACAGCGACTGGTAATCAAGCCTATTTCGTTTCAAGTGGTATCTTTTAGGGGTCAAATAAAGATGTCAAAGCCACGCCCAGATTACTCTCCTTTGGGGGTTAAATTCAAATTTTCCGACAAGCACCCGCGACCTTTCCGGGATCAGCATACAGGGAACTCTTCATTGCCTTGTAAGAAGGCAGTGATCACACTTCCTCAAATAACAATTCCTTTAACGAGTTTCTACATTTCTCTGAGGGAGAATTTACAATAGGTTTCCTGACCAAGATGTTTTCCCTCAGATAACCAGGTGCTTTAATTAATAACCTGCCTGCTTGGAGTTATTGTAAACTAGACAATAGTTTTTGATTTGTCACCCTAAGTAAATACATGCCACCTTAAGTTAGTATATACCTGATCGTTGTGTTCGTAAAAAGTCTGAACACACTGTCTTGAGCCTGCATCCCAGACCTTCACAGTCTTGTCACTAGAACTTGAAAAAAAAAAAAGGAAAAACTTATCAATCAAACTTTTAGCAGAGGGAGAACAATGACATCTATCTGCCAGAGTGCTACTTTGTTCAAAATTATTGTTTTAGTTCTAACTTTTATTTTCTTATTCATTGAATCAGTTTATTCTATTGGTATAAGATTATTTTGACCTGAGATTGTGCAGTTCCTGAAAATATCCATACTCCCCGGACAAAAGGGATTGGAATTTCTTGGGAGTGAGGTGAGGGGTTCTGTAAGATCGAAAAATTTAAAGAAATTTATGAAGGTTAATTGGAATTTCCAGAGGGGTGGGTGGGGGATCTTGGAAAAAAATCCCTTCCTTGGGGAGGTATGGATATTTTATGGAAGTACACAACGTCTGGGTAAAGTTTTTGACAAAACATTAATTCTGTGTTTCTGCTTTATTGACTATATAGCAGTTTTTTCAATGCTTCTCAAAGGAGTTCACCTAACTCTCCTTTCACAGTCTCCTCACAGTTAAAAGTAGATTTACTACTATTGAAAAGTAGATACAATCATTAATTCAAGACTTTGTATTTTGGTTTCTATTGTCATGTTTTGAAGATCACTTTGTGGTGACATAGACATAATATCTTGGTACGAGTAGAGAATTTTTAAATTTTTAACCACATAGTGAATACCTTGAGACAAAGTGTGTGTTGTCTGGACAAAATGAAACACCAAGAACCCATGAGCCATGTCCTGACAGAGTTCCAACTAAGTTAGCATTTTGTCTGTAAGAGGTGAAATGAACACAAACAAACAAGCGAACAAAAACAAGACAGAAACAAGTCATTCAAATCTAGATGCTGTCAAGCAAAGTGTAAACGAAACATGTTATGAATAATCAATAACTTGCTGTAGAGACTGTACTCTAGGCTACCATTGCAAATTGTACAAAGCTAAAAAATAAGAAATTTCAGCAGTACACAAATTTCACACTTCCACAGCCCACATACAGTACCCATAGTTTAGCACTCTGCCCAGATCTAATTTGGCACATTATTCAAGATAGCAACTCTGGGACAAATTTTATGCAAGGCAATGTCAGCCAACAAATTAACGAAGTGTTCATGGTTTAAAATCCGTATTTCAACAATTGTCCCTTGTAAATTTATGCAACATAGCCCAAGGAACAGGGCTACACAGAGGAGCCACAATGAACAACTACAGCAAAGTTAATGCCCTGAATGGTACACATCATATATCTTGATGTGATTGTCATCAGAAGCAGTAATCAACAGCTGGGAGTCAGGTGAGAATGTTAATGATCTGATAGGCATGGCGTGACCTGCAGAGAACCAAAAAATTCATTGATCAATGAATTCTGATAATTACATGTCAAATGAATTCATTAGTCCAGGTTATCATTTTGGCTTGCAAATAATTTTTTCTTGGATAAATTTTTGATTTCTCACCTTCTAGAGTGTGGAGTAATTTTCCTGTTGTGAGGTCAAAAATGTTTATTATTCCATCAATGGCTCCACATGCAATATAATGACCATCAGGACTCTGAAGTCAAATACATTTGTAATTATTAATGATCACTGAAAATAATTCTTTTTTACCCAGTTCCAGCTAACATCAGAGATAAGGAAAAGGGGCCATCCATTTACATTAGAACATGTTTTAGAATAGCCCAGCAGCAAACAGTCATGAGAACTGGTTTTCAAAAGTTTAGTCTACACACGTTAGAGTACTTTGCTTTGATTCCCTTTTACTCCGGAAGTTCATTTTTTTCTTCAGAAAGAGCATTCCTGACTCTAATTTTAGGCTGCAGACTTGTCTCCACTGGTCATCAACATATATCAGAATGGGACTTAAGACACCTGCTCAACAATTTGGGCTGTGTGAGATGCAAGCACCTATGGGGGTACATTTAAGACTGCAGGGTTTGAAATAATGGCCAGTCAATGGACAATGTTCAGTCAAAAATTGTTTCTTGTCTGAGCAAAAATAGATTGGACTGGACAACTTGAATGGTGAAAGCTGGGAAATTATTTCAAGCCCTGGACTGTACATTGAACAGGCCATGACATTAAAAAGAAGCCATTATAATAAGTAAACATACATAAGCTATGCTCATGGTGAATTTCCCTCTTGTATCCAGAGCACTCTCCTTTTTGCCACTTTCAACACCTATTAAACTAATTTTCCCAGCATGGCTGCCAGTAGCAATGTATCTTGAGTCTGGTGAAAATGCAACAGTCCAAGTATCCACTGTAAAGAAACAACATGTATTTTAATAACTGACTGCAATGGACCACTTTCGTCTTCGACAATGTCACGCTTTTCTGATTTTTTCATTCAAAAAAACCTCACCCTCACCGCTAGATTTATCACACCAATTTCAGTAAATATGCCAAGTTTCATAAGAACCAGTTGAAAACTCATCAAAATATTGGACCCCGAATTAATTTAATATCATGTGGTACAGTACCTGGTCCACAGTCAATGGCTTTCAGTTGCTTTCCAGATTCTAAATCCCATATTCTGATATGGCTGTCCAATGAACTTGAGGCCGCAACTGTTTGCATCAATTTTGTTCAAGGATTTTAACACTGGAATGGCTATAAACTAGCAGACATTACTGTAACAAGGGCACGATTACATGATCTACATAACTCTTAATATTAATTTTATAACAAAATGGAACTTGTTGATATTGATTTGTCATTAATTCCACATATTAACTGAGCAACTGGGCTGTAGTTTAGACTCATACAAGATGGATACCACAGATTATACCCAGTGCATGTCTCATTTACAAGCACTACATCTTACACAAAACACAGACAAGCTACAGTATAAATAACAAATATAAAATAAAGTGTGGAGTAAAGCTTGTAACCTTGTACCTTACAAGCAGAGGGTTGATTGACTTTGCACTATCAGCCTGTTCCAGGCTGATAGCTGGGTAATATGTGGGAACATGAAGAGCAGCAAGTGATAAAAAAATGTAAGGAATCCGATGTAATTTAAATTTTTGCCACTGAAGACACTTTTCTCTGCATTAATCCCCAGCTCAAGAGTACCTGAAAGCCTTAAACAGCATAACTCTCTCAAAGACAAGTTTTACCAAGAAAGCATGAAGAAAACATTTTAAAAGCATTCTGTTAAAAAAGTCAGCTAACTTTCGTATGCAGGGGTTTCATTGAAGCTGAGGCACTGGGCAAATTGACAGGAAAATTGACAAGAATGGCCTGCTTGGCAACTTAGCTGTCTCAAGGAAATTGTTTCTTCTAAAGAAGTTCAGTTCAAAAGGTTTGCTTGCCTGTGAAAACCAATTAACTTCCTAACCATCAAGGCTGCAGTGGCCTCATGGTTAGCATGCTCGACTTAGAATCGAGCAGTCCAGGTTTGAGTCCTGGCCAAAGACACTGTCGTTGTGTTCTTGGGCAAGACACTTTACTCTCACTGTGGCTCTCTCCAGCCAGTTGAGCAAATGGGCACTGGCGAATTTAATGCTGGGGGTAACCCTACAGTGGACTAACATTCCATTCCAACCTACCTACCTTTTTCACCTGACAACCTCAAAGAAACCCCTGACTAAAATAATTGTGTAAATGAATCGATATTGCAGGATACTTGTTCCAGTTAAGTTAATATCCACTGACACAACCCCAAGTTGATGTCCTTCAAAGTTAAATCTTGGCTCCAGTTTCTCCTCATTCCTGTGATTATAATACAATTTTTTCTAAATCCCCTCTTTCCTTCAAATAACTGTAATTGTCCAAAGAATATAAACTAAGAAGAAAAGTTAGGAGAAAACTAGATGGACTTTTTAAAGTTTGAATTTCACATAACTTGCCTCTGGAACAACACCATGTGTTACTTTGAAGTTAAAAAAAAAATTCTGTACAAACTGACAAACTTAATACTCACCATCTCCAGCACTTGACCATATCATCAACAGCACCTGTTATGATATTTTCTATTCCATCCTTGTCACTTGTTCCCCAGGTTACTGTCCAAATACTATCCTCATGCGCTATTCAAAAAAAATTCAACCTATGCTTTATTGCTGTCTCTTGCGGTAAGTACTCAGTTTGCCTGGTTCATGACAGGTATATAATGTATAGCCAAAAGCTTGTAAAGATATAGTTTCAGATATCAAATCTAGTTATTTGCTTTTCAAAAGTTAAAACTCAGATGCCTATAAGCTTAATGCAGCTAGCATAATAATTATTACAGTCTTTTTAGGTATACAGACATATCATCAAAGTCCTCCAAAGACTTCCCAATACGAAATTCAATACCATCTTTGAAATTTGAAGATTTCAAAAGATTAACCCAAGCAGCTTATTGTCATAAAGTTTGTAAATACTTCATCTTACAAAAGATCAACAAGGCTTTCTGTACAGGGAAATCCTCAAAGATCTTGATATTAACTTGTCATTCTTGAGCAAACTATCTGAGTGGAAACTAAGCATTTGTAATAAAATCTTAAAAGTTGTTGTCACTGACTTAAAAATCTTAAAATAGACGTTTCGGCTAAAATACTATAACCTTCTTCAGTAATGAAATGAATGTTAA